AAACAATTTAAAATATTGTTATGTATTTCCATCTATTATAAGTTCAGGAAAATAATTTAAAATATATTAAACATACTACATTTAAGGTTTTCTCACTTTTCTAATTACAACACAAATATTTTATGTCATTAAATATTCTTTCAGAACATTATTTTTAATGGCTGCATATTACATCACGTAAAAGTATCATGGCTTGCTAAATTGGCCATTTTACTACAGCTGGACTGTAGATTATGAAAACAGTAAAAACAGTGCTTACTTCCCCCCAGCATCTTTAGTGAACTAATACACGGTCACAACAAATTCTGCGAGCATGATAGTTAAGAGAAAATAATTTTTAAATTAGATCTGGGGTGCTAGACCTGCTTCATTCACCAACTAGCCTCAGCGTTTTCAAGATAAAAATAGTGTTAATCTCATACGGTTGTTGTGAGGATTAAGTGGGATAACATATGTACAATGCTTTTAGCACAGTTCTTGAAACACACTTTAAAAGTTCAATAAATATCAGTTATTCTAACTAGCTAGTAATATTCAAAATAAGATAGGTATATTTTTTGCATATATTTTGGTTCATAGTTTGGAATATTTCCTTAGAAGAAACTCTGTTTTGTAAGGAAGAATTCTGAAGTCAAAGGATAGGGTGATAAAGTAATTTAAGCCATACAAAGAAATAAAGAACTGTGGTTAAGGTAGCTACACAGGTAAAACATAAAAGTTAATTGCACTGTATTTTTTATTTGTAAGTGTTCTTTTTTTCCCTATATGGTTAATAAACAAATGAATAAACTAATTATAAGTCTATATTAATCAGTACAAAATGTACAAAGCTGTGAATTGTGATATCAAAATAAAGAGGGAGGGACAGAGCTGTTGTAGGAGCAGTTTCTATATACTACTGAAGTTAAGTTGGTATTATTTTAAATCAGACTGTTACCAAACATTGATTAAGAAAATTAAAGATGATTTAAAGAAATGGAAAAATACCCCACACTCTTGAATTGGAAGAATTAATATTGTTAAAATGGCAATACTATCCAAAGCAATCTACTGATTTAATGTGATCCCTATCAAATTACCCAGGACATTTTCCATAGAACTAGAACAAATAATCCTAAAATTTACACGGAATCACAAAAATACCCAGAATTGTCAAAGCAACACTGAAGAAAAAGAATAAAGCTGGAGGAATAAACCTCCCAGACTTCAGACAATACTACAGAGCTACAGTAATCAAAACATCAGCATAAAAACAGACATATGGATCAATGGAACGCAATAGAGAGCTCAGAAATAAAACCACACACTTACAGTTAATTAATTTTTGTCAAAGGAGGCAAGAATATACAATGGAGTATATACACTTCAGCAAGTGGTGATGGGAAAGCTGGACAGCAACATGTAAATCAGTGAAGTCAGAACACTCCCTCTCACGCCATACACAAATAAACTCAAAATGGCTTAAAGACTTAAACATAAGACAAGACACTATAAACCTCTCAGAAGAAAACACAGGCTAAACATTTTCTAACATAAATCTCAGCAATGTTCTCCTAGGGCAGTCTATCCAGGCAATAGAAATAAAAGCAAAAATAAACAAATGGGACCTAATTAATCTTACAAGCTTCTGCACAGCAAAGGAAACTATAAATAAAACAAAAATACAACCTATGGAATGGGAAAAAATATGTGCAAATGATGCAACTGACAAGGGCTTAATTTCCAGAACATACAAACAGCTTATATAACTTAGTAACAAAAACTAAACAATCCAATCCAAAAATGAAGACTTAAAGACCTAAAGAAGCAATTCTCCAATGAAGACATACAAATGGCCACTAGCTACATGAAAAAATGCTTAATATCACTAATTATCGGAGAAAGGCAAACCAAAAACTACAATGAGGTATCACCTCACACCACTCAGAATGGCCATCAT